GAAAAAGAAAGAATTGGCTGACTTGATAATTGTTTAGCACAAGAAAAATTTCTCCGAGAAAAAATTGATAAAAGAGTGAAAGTTGGCTGAGCGTTTTTTCGTTCTCCTCCTTTGGAAAAAGCAATATTAATTTATGCTACTTACGAGTTGTTGTGTGGAAATAATGCCGGTTTATATAAAATGATAATCGACCAAACTGTTAATTTCAGTAAATCCTATTTAGGGAAAGATAAATATAAATATATTAATAAAATTTTGGATTTAATAAGCAAAGAAGAGAAATTTTAGCCAGGCCAGATTTTCAAGATAAAAGATAAAAAATTCTTTATAAAATGGGAGAAAAAAGATTAAATTTTAACAATTTACTAACCGCTTGGAAAAAACTGGCCGTGCAGTATAATATTACTTGAAAAAATTCTTTTATCCAATGAGAATTACTACCTAATATCACGGCAGACTTCGCCTTGACTTTGGCTTTGCCAATTTCCCATAAAACTAAACAAAAACCTCCTGAAATAGCCCAACAAATTATAAAAATAACCAACTGTCCCGATTTAGAACATACAATCACCTCTCAAGGTTATATTAATTTTCGTTTCCCTATCGCCTATTATCAACAATTTTTTAACGAAACTTTAACTCAGGTCGGCCAAAATCTCCGGGGAGAAAGAAAAAATTTTCGTCTAAATATTGAGTATGTTTCGGCTAATCCGACTGGTTATCTCCATTTGGCACATTTTCGGCACGCGGTGGTTGGCAGCACACTAGCCAATATTTACCAATTTTGTGGTTATCCAATAACCCGAGAATACTACATTAATGACCGCGGGGGGCAAATCACTTCTTTAATTAATTCCGTTTATTATTTTTATCACCAATTACAAAATGCTACTCCGATAAAGGCGGGCCAAATAGAGTATGCGGGGATAGCCAGCCAAGAAATCGCTCACCAATTAATAACTAAATGAGGCAGAAATTATATTAATCAAGAACTAAACAAGGGGGATTTTATTACTTGAAAAAAAGAAATTTTAACGCTAATTTTAGCCAGAATCCGCCAAGATTTAGAAAAATGTGGGGTTAAATTTGATATTTGATTCTCCGAAACCAGTTTATACGAAAAAAAACAGCATTTAGAATTATTAACTGAATTAGAAAAAAAAGATTTAATTTATATCCAAGACGGAGCAACCTTTTTTCGCAGCAGTCTCGGGGGCGACGATAAAGACCGAGTAATTATCAAGCAAGACGGCGACTATACTTATTTTTTTTCTGACATTCTTTATCATTTAGATAAATCGAAAAGGGCTGACAAATTAATTAATATTTGAGGGGCCGACCATCACGGAACTATTGCTCGCTTAAAAAGTGCTTATCAATTATTAGACTATAATCCTGAGGACTTGCAAATAATCTTAGTGCAAACGGTCAATTTACTCACCAAAGATGGCCCGACCCGATTTTCCAAACGAGCAGGCAATACTATTGAATTAGCCGAAGCCTTAAAATATCTACAATTAGACCAATTAAAATTTTTTTTGTGTGAAAAAGACCCCAACCAGCCCCTTTCTATTAATACCGAATTACTGAAAGAAAACCAAGAAAAAACCCGCCTTTATTATATTCAATACGCTCATGCTCGCTGTCACCAGATATTCCAAAAAGCCCAACAAAAAAACATTGGCCGAATTGGTTCTAGTATTGATTTATTAACCGACCAGGCCGAAAGAAGTATATTTAATTTACTAATTCGTTTTTCTTTTGTTTTAGAAAATGTCATTGAGGAAAACAAACCCCACCATTTAATTAACCATCTCTACGAATTGGCCCGCGCTTGACAAATCTATTATCAAAATAGCACTATTTTGGAATTAGAAAATCCCGAACTAACCAGCCAAAAATTATTGTTGGTGAAAAATATCCAAATAATTTTAAAATTGGGGCTGGAATTGATGGGGATAAACGCTCCCAGCGTTATGTAAAATGTTTAATTGTGGCTATATGATGTCTAACGCTTGCAATTTTTTTCTAACTTTGTCGGCCTGAATGTAATCGCTTTTTTTTCGCCAATCCTGTCATTCCTTAATGAGTAATTTAATCTCTAAATTATAAATTGGCAAAGTAAATCTAAACCCTAATAAGTCGAGAATGAAGTAGAAATTATTAATTGTCTCGGAAAAATTTTCATTGTCATTTTCCCCCCGGTCGATAAATTTGTTAAGAGAATTAATTATTTGTTCGAGAAAAAAAAACACCTTAACTGTATTGAGATTATTCAGTAAATTATTAATTATTTCTTGTTGTAAAGTGGCATTCTGGACATCAATTTTTATCTTGTTTAAGTATAAATAAAATCTCAATTTTTTGAGAAGATTTTTAATTTTTTGTATGTAATCTGTGGCTTGTTTAATTAATTCCTCACTTAAATTAATTACTTGATTGTATTGAGCGTTTAAAATCAAATATCTCAAAACATTAGCTCCATATTTTTGACAAAAATATTTAGCCGAAATAACATTCCCTAGAGATTTTGACATTTTTTCTTGACCTCAATTGATATGAGCAATGTGGAGTCAAATTTGGCTTAATTCACGGTTATTGGCGGCTAAATACTGAATCCTTTCATTTTCGTGATGGGGAAATAATAAATCATTACCACCACCATGAATGTCAATGATCTGGCCGGCCATTAATTCATTAATAAAAACAGCACATTCGGTATGTCAACCGGGTCTTCCGGCTCCCCAAGGCGAAGGTCAACTTTTTCCGACTGCGGTCTTTTTTCAGAGCACAAAATCGCGCTTATTCTCTTTATTGACCGAAGTAATTTCCCGGGTTCTTTCTTTCAATTTAGCAAGATTTTGCCCAGAAAGCCTG